TATGAACCTACACCTGCAAAGTCACATCTTCCATTCATAGGATATATGATTGGAAGGCTACAAGTCTCATTTGTCACCATTCCAGAGAGACTCGTAATTCTCAACGGAGGACAAGCAAGTAACATCACCCACGTGTGGTCCATTGATGGCCATAAATGAAGGCCTGTACCTCATTACCTGTACAGACCTGGGGCTGGGGATAGTCTACAGGAGTCTGTGCAATGCACCACTCATCCCGGCTGCAATGCTCTGAAGGCTCAAATGCAGAAAAAATGATTTGATTTTTTTTTTTGCAATATGGATGATTTATTAATTCTTTTGCAAAAAGTGAACAGTGCCTTTAAAAGGAGGATGCACAGAGATCGTGCAATCAGATGACTGTGTGTGTGCTCGTCTTATGACGATCGTATAATAATTGAACACCATTACACCCCTTCCATGGACATTGAGGGGAATTTATCAAAACTGGAGCAGTTGCCCATAGTAACCAATCAGCTTCTTTCATTTTCAAACAAACTGAAGATAGAAGCTGATTGGTTACTATGGGCAACTGCCCCAGATTCTGTCTGCTCCAGTTCTGATAAATACCCTCCAGAGCTCTCATAGGAGAGTATACTGGGAAGGATCACCTCCCATTGTATACAGACCTCCTCCTCTGCAGGGAGAATATGTCCCTGGCTGTCTCATAGTGTCCCTGGCAGTGTGCTGCCACCTAGAATGCCCACAATGACCGCCTTTTCCCCCGGAGGGCTTCCAGGTACCGCACTCGTACAGCGGCCACGTTGCTCCACCCTACCTGAGTCCGGGGCGGCTTCACCGGGAGGACAGGCTTCCTGCTGACGTCACGTCGCAGGAGCCAATGTCGTGCTTCGTCCAATCACAGCGTCTCTTGTCATGCTACGCGTGCACCGTTGATGTCTGTCCCCCGTGAGCAAGGTTAGTACTGCGAGTGCGTGTGAGAATGTACGTGGTCACCGGAGGAAAGTCTGTTCTCCCGAGAGCGCTGAGCACTTATGACCGGGGCTGTTCCGGTGCCCGGGAAATGGGGATATTATGAGTAGAGGGGATATAGGGGGAGATGTTTCCATGCTGTACTAACTTCCTGCCTGGTAATGGCAGTGTAGAGCCTACTGTCACAGTGTGGTTGTAAGGTTATCATTATTAGATCAGTCAGGGTGACATATTATACCCCAACAGTCCCAGATCTTCCATATGCCTTCCCCCTGACAGTCCCAGATCTTCCATATGCCTCCCCCCTGACAGTCCGAGACCTTCCATATGCCTCCCCCCTGACAGTCCGAGACCTTCCATATGCCTCCCCCCTGACAGTCCGAGACCTTCCATATGCCTCCCCCCTGACAGTCCGAGACCTTCCATATGCCTCCCCCCTGACAGTCCGAGACCTTCCATATGCCTCCCCCCTGACAGTCCGAGACCTTCCATATGCCTCCCCCCTGACAGTCCGAGACCTTCCATATGCCTCCCCCCTGACAGTCCGAGACCTTCCATATGCCTCCCCCCTGACAGTCCGAGACCTTCCATATGCCTCCCCCCTGACAGTCCGAGACCTTCCATATGCCTCCCCCCTGACAGTCCGAGACCTTCCATATGCCTCCCCCCTGACAGTCCGAGACCTTCCATATGCCTCCCCCCTGACAGTCCGAGACCTTCCATATGCCTCCCCCCTGACAGTCCGAGACCTTCCATATGCCTCCCCCCTGACAGTCCGAGACCTTCCATATGCCTCCCCCCTGACAGTCCGAGACCTTCCATATGCCTCCCCCCTGACAGTCCGAGACCTTCCATATGCCTCCCCCCTGACAGTCCGAGACCTTCCATATGCCTCCCCCCTGACAGTCCGAGACCTTCCATATGCCTCCCCCCTGACAGTCCGAGACCTTCCATATGCCTCCCCCCTGACAGTCCGAGACCTTCCATATGCCTCCCCCCTGACAGTCCGAGACCTTCCATATGCCTCCCCCCTGACAGTCCGAGACCTTCCATATGCCTCCCCCCTGACAGTCCGAGACCTTCCATATGCCTCCCCCCTGACAGTCCGAGACCTTCCATATGCCTCCCCCCTGACAGTCCGAGACCTTCCATATGCCTCCCCCCTGACAGTCCGAGACCTTCCATATGCCTCCCCCCTGACAGTCCGAGACCTTCCATATGCCTCCCCCCTGACAGTCCGAGACCTTCCATATGCCTCCCCCCTGACAGTCCGAGACCTTCCATATGCCTCCCCCCTGACAGTCCGAGACCTTCCATATGCCTCCCCCCTGACAGTCCGAGACCTTCCATATGCCTCCCCCCTGACAGTCCGAGACCTTCCATATGCCTCCCCCCTGACAGTCCGAGACCTTCCATATGCCTCCCCCCTGACAGTCCGAGACCTTCCATATGCCTCCCCCCTGACAGTCCGAGACCTTCCATATGCCTCCCCCCTGACAGTCCGAGACCTTCCATATGCCTCCCCCCTGACAGTCCGAGACCTTCCATATGCCTCCCCCCTGACAGTCCGAGACCTTCCATATGCCTCCCCCCTGACAGTCCGAGACCTTCCATATGCCTCCCCCCTGACAGTCCGAGACCTTCCATATGCCTCCCCCCTGACAGTCCGAGACCTTCCATATGCCTCCCCCCTGACAGTCCGAGACCTTCCATATGCCTCCCCCCTGACAGTCCGAGACCTTCCATATGCCTCCCCCCTGACAGTCCGAGACCTTCCATATGCCTCCCCCCTGACAGTCCGAGACCTTCCATATGCCTCCCCCCTGACAGTCCGAGACCTTCCATATGCCTCCCCCCTGACAGTCCGAGACCTTCCATATGCCTCCCCCCTGACAGTCCGAGACCTTCCATATGCCTCCCCCCTGACAGTCCGAGACCTTCCATATGCCTCCCCCCTGACAGTCCGAGACCTTCCATATGCCTCCCCCCTGACAGTCCGAGACCTTCCATATGCCTCCCCCCTGACAGTCCGAGACCTTCCATATGCCTCCCCCCTGACAGTCCGAGACCTTCCATATGCCTCCCCCCTGACAGTCCGAGACCTTCCATATGCCTCCCCCCTGACAGTCCGAGACCTTCCATATGCCTCCCCCCTGACAGTCCGAGACCTTCCATATGCCTCCCCCCTGACAGTCCGAGACCTTCCATATGCCTCCCCCCTGACAGTCCGAGACCTTCCATATGCCTCCCCCCTGACAGTCCGAGACCTTCCATATGCCTCCCCCCTGACAGTCCGAGACCTTCCATATGCCTCCCCCCTGACAGTCCGAGACCTTCCATATGCCTCCCCCCTGACAGTCCGAGACCTTCCATATGCCTCCCCCCTGACAGTCCGAGACCTTCCATATGCCTCCCCCCTGACAGTCCGAGACCTTCCATATGCCTCCCCCCTGACAGTCCGAGACCTTCCATATGCCTCCCCCCTGACAGTCCGAGACCTTCCATATGCCTCCCCCCTGACAGTCCGAGACCTTCCATATGCCTCCCCCCTGACAGTCCGAGACCTTCCATATGCCTCCCCCCTGACAGTCCGAGACCTTCCATATGCCTCCCCCCTGACAGTCCGAGACCTTCCATATGCCTCCCCCCTGACAGTCCGAGACCTTCCATATGCCTCCCCCCTGACAGTCCGAGACCTTCCATATGCCTCCCCCCTGACAGTCCGAGACCTTCCATATGCCTCCCCCCTGACAGTCCGAGACCTTCCATATGCCTCCCCCCTGACAGTCCGAGACCTTCCATATGCCTCCCCCCTGACAGTCCGAGACCTTCCATATGCCTCCCCCCTGACAGTCCCAGATCTTCCATATCCCCTTCTGGCAGTCCCAGATCTTCCATATTCCCCTCTGACAATCCCAGATCTTCCATATTCCCCTCTGACAGTCCCAGATATTCCCCTCTGACAGTACCAGATCTTCCATACCCCCCCCACGGTCCCAGATGTTACAACCCCCCCTCCCCGGCAGTCCCATACCTTCCATATCCCTCTCCCTAACAGTCCCAGATCTTCCATAT